TGTTTGGAACTGCGCATGCTCAGGATTTAACCCGTTTTAGTCCGAATAAAGGTAATGTAAGTAGATCAATAGTTTCTGAATATTTTATGAAAAAAATGATCTTCAAATTTATTTTTTGCATTATACACAAATACATGTACACTTCCTAAGACTGGAATTATATTTGTCAGATGAAAAATAATGTTTTTCTTCTTCTTACAGATCAAGCCAAAATGGCCCACGTAGCTTTTGTAGCAGACATGGCTCACCTGAAACTATTCCATTAACACAGCCATTACCAGGGTTACCAAAACCAAAATATGCAACAACCACAGAACACACCCATGAAACAAAAGTAACTACATTATCCAATGGACTAAGAGTTGCTTCACAGAATAAATTTGGTCAATTCTCAACTTTAGGTGGTAAGTTTCATATGATACATATTTCATGGATGAATAAAACCAGTTTGAAAAGTGTTAGTTTTTCACTGTGTTGTTAGCAGAGATCCATCTTTACAAAATGAAAACATGGAAAATGGCACCACCAGCAATTTCACTGAATTTTGAAGTTTCCGAACCTTGCAGAGAAACAATGAATTCTATTGTTATTTTAATTGTTCACGTAGATTTAATTCAGCGAAATCGAAAACTATAATTAATGTGTTTATAGACAGTTTTCCACTCACTATCAGATTCTGCATGGAATCAAAGGTTAAAACATGACAAACAAAAATCATAGTATTGCAGTGACGTCAAAACATTGCTGGGGGTATGACAAAGGAGATTTTTTTGTCATGCTATGTACAATTGATACTGATCTATTACGATTAAGTTAGGGTATCTCAATTCTATATTCCCCTTGAAAAAATCAGCATTTTGACATTCAGATATAAAAAGCAAAAATTCAAGTTCAAAATCAAATCATTTGAATTTCGTGGTGGATATTCTGTCTGTGTCTTTTGCATAATGTGAAATCTCACAGGGAATCTCCTATCAATTACATGTATCTGAATTATCAAATCATCAATTATCAGAATTATGTTTCTGGTCAGCACGCGTACCACCCAAAACAGTGTGGGCCAATTTTTTTCCTCTACTTATTTTTTCACTGCAGAGCGCCCTCTGTTGATGATTTAATGAAACTGTTGAATATTTTTTTTTTTTACAAGCACAT